GTTTTTAGTCACCTTTAATAGATGTGTGAACAAACACTGGAGATGACACTAAATGCATCAATAATGTAGTAAGGTCATAACATGGCTCTGGGGCTCTGAAGCTGGTTGACAGAATTGGGAAGGGACTGGTTTCTGCCAGGAAAAGGAGAGGGTCAGGAAGAGAAGAAAGAGGTCTAACAGGTGAACCCAAGCCCAGGATTCAGCAGTGCAGCAGAGTCTAGAGTTGGCCTTAAGGTCCACGTTCCAGCAGTCTCAACGGTACACAGTTAACAGAGACACACATGTTCGGTGTATGGAACATCAGTTGATGGTACAGGTTGGCAGCATCCACAGAAATTCAGGGTGGAGAAGAGAGAACAGAGTATGAGGGACCTGACCTGGAAAACCCCACAGACCCAGCACAGTCCAGGGGCATCCTCCACAGGGTTCTGTCATGTACAACCAGTGTCCTGGAAATTTAGTGTCCCAAAGTTCTGAGATGTCAACGTCTCAGCAGGGGACCACGCTAGAAGAGCAGCAGGGTACAAAGGCACGCGCTGCAGCTAATGGAGAGGGGCACAGCACCTAGAAGCTTTAGCAGGATGCAGAAGTCCGGGTCTGAGCTGTGCAGGGCTGTCCATCAGAGGTACATCCCCACATAGAGGCTTAGCATTGGGCACCGGTGCCGTGCATGCTCTGCCCACCGAGAGGCGCCTCTTAGCAGAGGCTTGAAGTGACGGCTCCTTGACCTCAGATTCTGGAGGTCAACGACCACGACCCCTTCTGACCTGTGAAGACCTGAGATGATGGGTAGATGGATCTGGGGTCGATGGCAGGGTAAGACCTGGCTCCTTCTTAAAGGAACTTCGAGAGGTAGCTGCTGCCACAGGCGCAGAGCGTGCAAAGGCTCGATGCCTGGGACGCCTGCCCACAGCCAGAGCGCGAGGGCATGGCACCCTGCAAGGCCGGAGGTGCCGCAGGCCCAGCTTGGCTCGACCAGGGGAACGGACCTCCTTCAAGGCTTGCAGCCCCGGGCTCCTGGGCGCCATAGGCTCGGCGTGGTTCACAACGGCCCGGTCCCGGCCCTGCTTCCACAGCTCCTAGTGCTCGGGTTGCAGGATGCGCACGAAGACGTCCATGGAAAACAAGACCCTGGCCTTCCGCAGCTGCACTGCGAGGCCACTTTGCCGTAATCCACCCAGCGCGGGGTGGCGAAGTTGATGGCTTTGGCGCAGTTGAAGCCGAGGTTGAAGCCCGCGTGGTAGCTGTAGGGGAAAGTCACCATGAACTCCCCAGGCTCCTAGGTGACCCGCCCAAAGGGGATGCCACGCTCCCTGAGCACGGTGGGCGAAATGAATGCCACCTTGTGCCGCAGGAAGGCTGCACAGCTCCGTGAACTGCCCGGGAAAAGCTGCCTGGCCAGGCGCTCCAGGCGGCCTCCGTGCTCAGGGGGCACCGCGTACCACGTTTTGGGCTCCCCGAAGTGCAGGTAGTTGATGCTGTACAGGTCCATGTCCTCTGTGTGCCAAGCGAAGGTGGTCTTCCACATCCCAAAGTACAGGTAAGGCGTGTTGACGCCTTCAATGACAACGCCACACTCCTGCTCCAGCAGGTCCTGAACGGTGCCCAGGTTCCAGTGCTCCGTGCTCCCGTCAAACAAGGAGCCGCCGATGTCAGCCCCGGAGATGGGGCATCGTAGAGGCGAGTCTTCCGATACTTCCTCTCCAAATCATCAAAGTCCAGGTGTTGGGGAGCGCAGTATTTGTCACTGTTGGCCAAGTGGCAATACTCCCCCACGGTCATGGCTTTCTTCTTTTTGTGGTACTGAGTAAAGGCCCCAGCCGCCCGGAGGCCACCTGCTGCAAGGCTGCGGCTATCAGGATGTCACTGATTCCTCGCAGTTCTGTCTGGTGCTCCATTCCTTGGGAAGGATGATCTTCGCCACGCCTGCTCGGTGTGCACCTTGGGATTCCATGTGGGCAATGTATTTGTCGAAATCATTAAATTCTTCTTTGGTTGGACGAAATACCATTATGGTACAAGTAGGGTTCTGAGGAGCGTTGCACTTAGACTTCAGAGCTGAATGTTAATGAGCAGCCACTGCCTAAGTTCCCAGTACGTTTTAGATAGAGAGCTGAGGGTGCTGGGAAAGGGTATTAAAAAGAAATGGGTGGGGCTAGCTGTGAGGCAGCAGGAACCACCAGCAGACTTTGAAGCAAATGAGATGATCACCCTCCGTGGGCGGCTGCTCTGCAGGGGGTGGGAAGTTGGGCCTGGCTCTGCTGTGGAAAGCAGCTGTGCTCTGGCACTCATGAAGTTTGAGCCTGCAACTCTGTGCTGGTTCTCAGGTGGTGCCTGCCTGTCCTCTTGAGATTACGGAATCACCTAGACCTGGGATTCTGTAGCAGAATGTGCCTTCCTCAAGACTGTGTTTATGTTTAAAGAGAGGCTTGCACCTCAAACTAGACAGCTTCCACAGCTTCCATCTTCCCAGCCAGTCCTCGCTCAAGAGGGCTTCTGAGCAGCCCAAGGACCATTCAGACAGAAGCTGGCCTGAGGTCCAATCCTCTACCTCACTCATTCCTCAGGGAGGTCACCACCATTGGCTTCTTTGCCTCAATAACAGAGTTTTAAAATAAAATAAAGCAAAAACCGATAGACTAGAGATGGCAATATCCGTACCTCAATAACTGGTAGAATAATGCACAAAAAATCAGCAAGGACATAGTGAGATCGAATGGTGCTATCAATCCGTTGGAACTAATTTGCACTCGAGAAAATTTCACCGACAACCGCTAAATACAAATTCTTCAGAGTGCACCCAGGTCTTGACCTGACAGACCTTCCTCTAGGCCACAAAATAAATAGCAAATTCCTTAAAATGAGTCAAGACATACAAAGTACATTCTTTCACTCTAATGGAATTAAATCATAAATCACTAACAGAAAGATATCTGGGAAATCTCCAGAAGAAATCCAAGGGAATGTAGGGAATATTTTGATCACAACAGAGCAGTCTAGGGCCATACTACCTCACACATGCCTGGTCTTGCCTGAACCCAGAAGAGATGTGTGGGATGCCACCTCACAGCAGTCGGGGGTAAATAATAGCATGGAGCGTCTGTGTTAGACAAGGACAGCCTCAGTTCCCACCTTAAATTCTAAAAATAAAAGTAAAACCCAAAGTAAATACAAGAAATAATAAAGACCCCGATGAGAATCCAGAGAACACAAAGCAGAAAGACAACCGAGAAAACCAATAAAACTAGTCACTCATTGGGGGGAAGGGGGAGACACAAATTAGCAATATCAGAAGTGATATTACTACAGATTCCATCACAAATCAAGCATCTACAGTCACTGAATTGGCTCCAACTCATAGTGACCCTCTGTATAGGGCTTCCGAGCCTCGTCTTTCTCCTGTAGGATGGCTGATAAGCTGGAACCAATGGCCTTACAGTCAGCAACCCAACACTTAACCCTCAGCGCTACCAGGGCTCCTTACATAGCCTCCAGAAAACTTTATCTACAAAAGAAACTGAAATTACACTTTGAAACTTTCTCACAATAAATCTGCCCCCCGGGATTTGCTCACTTCTTGGCGCAGGAGAAGCCTGAGTGTCTGCTCATATCCTGGGTGGGTTGCTATAGGATCACAGATCAATCAGCATGAGGACAGGCAGTGGGAAGGCCTTAAGGTGCAGAGGAGCAACCACAAAGCAGGAGGAGGGTGTTCTGCAGGCTGTCACCAGTCCGTGCTGAGACCAAAGCAACCAAGAGGGACCAGGACGCATAGATGCGTGTGACAGGAGGGCGACGCCTGCATTTCTGAGACTAAATCCAAGGGAGGACTCTGGAGTTACGAGCCCTTGGATCATCCTTGAAATCATCCTGAACATAAAACAGACCAGGCAGCTGAAGGCGCAGACCACTGTGGAGTTTGGGAGAGGGGTTCCGTGAGGCCAGTGGGAGAGGGAGCTAGAGAATGGCCAGCAGAAGAGAAGAAAAAGCCACAGCTGAGCTGTCAAATCCACAGCTCATGGTCACAGCTAGACTGCCAACAGACAGCCCCTGGGCTCCCAGGAAGGAGCACCTATACGTGCCTGTGTAGACACGTCTGTAAATACATGCACACAGACCTGTCTGTCTGCAAACACGTGAATGTCTCCAACCACATGTACACAGATGCATCTGTGTTATCTGCAAACACACGTGTCTATGTATGGTCACATCTACCTGAGCTGCCCAGTCTGAAAGCCCCCTTGGCAGACCTCCCCAGCCCTGTGTCTATGGTCTCACCTTGTGCTCACACGGCTCCTGCATCTGCATCTATATATACAGGGAGGAGCCTGTCTTTTCCTCCTGTGGGCCCCTCACACAGCCCTGCTCGCATGAAAATGGGAGGAAGGTGGAGGCCATCGGGCACAGGGAATATGTCCCCAAGGCCTGGGCCTTGGTGTAGGGCTGCAGGGCTCACACAGAGGTGAGAACGTTGATGACAGACTCTTCCCTGTCTACTTGCTCTCAGCTTGGCCAGTGTGTGGCTGAGACCCTGGACATTTTCCTAATGGTAACTAGGAAGACCGTGTGGCCCCCTCTGCCAAATGCTGGTGGTCAACCTGGGGAACCAAACTCCCTACCATCGAGTCGATGCCAACTCACAGAGACCCTATAAGACAGGGTAGACCTCCGCTTTCAGTCTTCTGAGACTGTAACCCTTACAAGAGTAGAAAGCCCTGTCTTTCTCTCAGATAGGTTGGCTTTGAACTGCTAACCTTGGGGTTAGCAGTCCGGATATGTCACCACTAGGGCACCAGGCTCCTCGTTCAGCTGGTCATGCCCAGATAGTCAAAGGAGGAGGAGGGAATAGCATGTAACCACCACCTCCCTCTGGGGCCCCTAAAAGCAAAGGGCATCAAGGGCAGATCTGATCATATGCACTGCCCAGCAGAGCTGGGTGAAACCTCAGAGGCGTCCTGGGTCCTGCCAGGCGCCCCACCCTCTGGTGCAGGGACACTCACTGGGCGCGACGGTGGTCTCCCCCGGAGGGGCTGTCAGTGTCACAGGGATGAGCACGTCAGCGCCCGGCTCTGGGGGCTGGCTGCCCATGCGTGTGACGTTCCGCTGGTTGTCGGCATCTTCCGGCTGCTCCACCACCTTCTGGAGACAGGTGCTGGGCAGTGTGTGCACAGGGCCCGCCCCCAGCACCCCGCCGGTCTCCACATCACAGTGCAGCTCCCTGCAACCAAGATACACATGCAGAGTTGACATGGCCTGGCTCCCGTTCAGTCTGCAGAGCCCTGCTCATGAGCCCCCACACAGAGCAAGTCATCCCAGCCCCAACTCCTGCACATTTCTGTGGCTCAGGTCTGGAGGGCCACCATGAGACTGATACCTAGCTGTCCCCAACCCAACAGTAGGCAGGCCTGGCATTCTGATACAGTGAAACAGAGCCACCTGCCCACAGAAAAGCCTGGAGCAGGACGTGGCAATAAACCCCCACTGCAGGGCCCACCAGGTGGGGCCCGCACACAGGTGTGCACAATGGTGGTGCTGGGCGACCTGCTTCCAGCCAAACGTGTGTGCAAACAGAAACTCTCAGATGCCTGAGTCCCATTAGCCAGCGGCCAGGGAGGGGGCGGGGAGTGGGTGGGCCTTGGGTCCTCTTCAGTCACTTCAGAGCCCAGGCCCTTCAGCCCTGTGCTGCCTGGATGTCCCAGCCCTCTCACTTCCCTCTCCCAACTTCCCCAAGTCAGGGTATCCCCCGGGGCTCTCTCCCCTACATCCTCTCAAACCCTGGCAGCTGCTCCCTGGCCCACCTTTTAGCCCCTCAGGCCCCTCCAGTCAGGGCACCTGCCCTGCAGCGTCACCGCCCAGTCACTCACTTGGGTGGAGGATTGTGCAGCCCCTTGTCTCCGTCAGGGTTCTCCCCCTCCTTCTCCGCAGTCTCCTTCTCCTGGGAGTCCAGCTTGGGCAGCGCCTTGTGCCGACCTCGGTGCCGTCTCGGGGGCTCCTCCGCGCTCTCTGCGTCCCTGGGGCCGGCCCGCGCACCTCCCCGGTGCCTGGCCCGCCGGTCGCCCTTGGTGCCGGCGCCCTCCCGGACCTGGTCGGTTGCGTGGCGGTGAGTATGGTGGCGCCGGGGCTCCCTCTCAGCGGCCTCTTCGGGAGAGGCTCTCCGATGGTGGCGCCGGCCCCCTTCCGGCCCTGGGCCTCGAGGTCGCTCGCTGCGGCCCTCCCGTGGGGGTGCGGGCTCCTTACTGCGGCTGCGGTGCGGCCGGGGCCGCTCCTCCCGGGCTCCTGGCTCCCCGTTCTCGCCCTTAGGGGGCTCAGGCTTGTCCTGCTCCGCTCCCACTGAGATGGGGGCTGGACCTTTGTCCTTGTCACGGTGGCGATGGTGTCTTCGGGGAGGGTCTGGGCCCTCAGCAGGTGGGCCAGACACTGGGCCAGCTGGCTCAGCAGGCTCGGGGCCCTCCCGAGGGCTCTCTCGGCCAGGCTCCACCACTAGGGGCCTGTCCAGGTGGGTCTTCATGTCTGGACGCAGGTGGCGCGTGGTGGCAAAGCGCAGCCGCTCCTCAGGGTCCATTTCGCTGTACAGGGCTTCACAGCTGGCCCGCAAGTTCTGCAGCCGCAGTTGGCTGGCCCGCTGCTCCCAAACAGACCGAGACTTGGCTGAGTTCTGCTGCCTGCTGGGGAGAGAAGCAGAATGAGCACCCCACCCTGCCAGACTGCTCCCCACTGCCGGCCTCGAGCAGGGACAGCCACAGATGGACACACAGCAATGGAGGTGTGGCGGAGTGGATGCCAGGGGGCAGGGAGCCCTGGAGACCCCTCCTCAAGTGCAGAGGGATGGGATGCCCCACTGAGGCAGGAGGGCTGTGAGGAAGAGATCAGAGAGGCTGGCAGACAGGCTGCAGCACTTCCAGGCACCGTCAGCTAGCTGAGCTTTCTGTCACCACAGGAGTTAGAAGTCAGAGCTGAGTCACCAAGCACCCCAGCCAGAACCCGGAGTGGCCCCCAGCACAGACAGAGCACAAGAGCCTGTGCCCTCTGCTCCTTGCTGCCTCTCAGCCCAGCACCACCTCAGCCAGAGCCAAGCAGGCAGCCTCATCCTCCACCCTGGGAGCCACTCATACGGCACTTGCCTCAGGAACCTTGTGACACAGGCTTCTTGGGGTCAGAACCAGACCCATGGGAGAGGGGAGGTCTGCTTCGGGCCACCCAAGGCCAGTCCTCATTGGCTGGCAGACACAGAGACCGAAGGTGGGCAAGGCTGAGCCCTGTAGTAGGCTGAGTCCTGTAGTCGACTGATACCAATCTGCCCCCTTGGGAGACTCCGACTGCAGAGGGGACGGCGGCCTGGGCAGCACCCTAAGTCCCTGGCGAGCAGGGATGCACGTGGTGGCTCCCAGGAGCCCTGAGACAGGTGGCTGTGTGCAGGCAGCGCAGCCTCCACGCACAGGGTTTGACTGTACAGCAAAGGTGGTCAGGGGGAAGGGCAGCCCCAGGTGTGGTCACAGCTCCAGGCCTCCAGCACTCTAAAGGCCACGGTGTAACTGGACAGTGGGCTGGGATGAGGGGGGTGTGTATGACAGGAGCACAAGGCTGCCACCCCCCTGGGGGGGCCCAGGGCTGGCACTCGAGCCCTCACATGGGAGCAAGACTCAAGGATTAGACACGACACTGCCATCTAGACAGGGGCAGCTGGTCTCTGCACATCCCCACCCCGCCCCATTAGGGACCTTCCATATCCCCTCATCTGAGTCCTCTCCACTGAGAACCTTCCAGGGCCATATACCCAAGCCCTGTCTTCTTCCCACCGGGGAGCCTCATGTCCCTGTCCCTACCCACTGGGACCCTTCATGTTCCTATGGCCTCAGCTCCTCCTCATTAGGGACCCTCCACGTCCCTGCTCCCACCTCACTGGGGACCCTCCATCCCCAACTCCTCTCCCCACCAGGGACCCTCCAGATCCTTGTCCATGCAATCTCAGTTTTCTGTAGGGTCTGTCCATGTTCCCACCCCCCATGCCCATCTCCTCCCTATTGGGGACCCTTCAGGGCCATCCCTGGTTCTCTGGGTCCCCACTCCCCCCATCAGGGCCACCCACATCCCTGTTCCTGCATCCTTGTCTGCATTTGTCAGGGCCCTCGATGCCCGCCCCCTGGTCCCTGTCAGCATGCGCACACCCAGCTGGGTGGGCTGCCTCTGTCCTTGCCTGTCAGGTACAGAGATCTGCAGGCTCTCACACTCGCTTCCTGGCCACCGGGCTTGAGGGCATGAGGGTGAGGCCAAGGCCACTTGGGCCCCAGCTGGGTCTCTGGTGTCCTGACCAAAGTGCTTAGGCAAAGGCTAGCTCCACTGGCTCAGGGGCACCTAGCTCTGATTGCAGGCCAACTCTGCAAGGGAGGGAGACTCAGGGAGACCTCTGTCCTGGAGTCCTGGCTCAGACAGTGACCCCTGTAACTGCTGAGGCCTCAAAATAGCACCTGGCCTCTTACTGCCAGCACCCATGTGTACACAGTCCACGTGCAATCACCCACCATTCTCAGCTGGACTTAAGGACCCCTGCTGGCTGCCCAGAAGCTGCAGGCTCAGGTTGCCAGGCCCCGAGGGTTCCTCCTCCAGGGGTCTGACACACCGACCTCGCAGTCCTGGCTCTAGCCAGTCGAAAGCCAGCCTTGCACCCACAGAGTAGATCTGCCTGAGGTAGAGCCAGGGCGCCCAGGTGGGGGCAGGCCCAGTCTTCCAGTCAGGAAGAGAGCAGGACCCCTGAGCTCCCCAGGAGCCTGCACCCACTGCTCTGACATGGCCTGCTCGCAGAGGCCCACTGGCACGCGGACCTGAGGGGACAATGTCACCTGAGCAGGCAGCTCAGGAGAAGTGGACGCACTTGAGACTCAGCACAGAGCGAGGCACACAGGCAGACAGCAGACACACAAACGGAAACCAGAGGCCTGGTGCATAGGGCCACAAGGCCCGGCCACAGGGAGGCCTCCCAGGAGCTGCCCGTGAAGCAGTGACTTGAGGGGCAAGCAGAGTTAGGAGTGGAGGGCGCCGGTGTGTATTATCGTGAAGCCATGGAGGGATATCGGAACAGAGCAACTCACGGTGAGTTTACGCTGGAGACGGACGAGCGGCGAGATACAGTACCTCGAGTTTGCTTTACAAAACTGCACATGCAAGAAACAAAACAAGACAAGAGTGAGAAACCAGACAGAGCGCTGAGACACGGGCGGGCTGGCATGGTGCAGCGGGTATCCGTGCACACCCCGTCGGGCAGCAGGCCCGCCCAGTCGTCTAGGCCAGAGACGTCGAGGGGCAGAGGCAACCGCTGTTCTTCCCACTGACTCAGAGGGAGATGGAGGTGCACATGAGCAAACTCTCTATGAAGCAAACTCTCTGTTCTCCACATGCTCACATTCCCCACAGCGCCACACAAGGCCATGTGTGCCTACTGTGTGCCAGGGCATGTGTGGGAAAGTGTGTGCCATGTGCCAGGCTGTGTGCTGTACATGAGAGCTACGTGCCAGGATATATGTGTATACACATTGTGTGCCAGGCTGTGTGTGTTGGGGGGGGGTTCATGTGGACTATTTGTGTGTATGTGCGGGTGCACAAGATCATCACGTGTCAGGCTGTGTGAGAGAGTTCGTATGTTTGCAAGTGAGTGTGCCAGGCTATGTGTGTGTGGATGCACATGAGCACTGTGCGTGCCAGGCTGTGCGCACACACACAAGTGTGCAGGCGCTCACAGAACACCTGCCGGGCTGGGACCGACCTCCGAGCCCGTGGCACTACAGGGATCCCTCTCCAGGCCTTTGCAGGAGCTAGGGTATCCTTACCTGTGGTGCTTCCCTGCCCAGCTGTCTGACCCCTGCTTTCTGTGGAGCATCAAACCCATCACCCCAGGAATCATGACTCACCAGGAGGGCAGGCCAACAGGTACTAGGGGCCAAGTAGGCACTCCAAGCCTAGGGGTCACAGTCTGACACAGGAAGAGAGGGCCAGTGCCTGGCCCCACACACTTGGGACACAGGCCACACCTAGAACATTTCACCTGCAAGGCTAGTGCCCACACTGTCTCTGGTCAAACTAGACTGCCCACCACACTGGGCTGAGCTTCTGAGCCAGGCAAAAGGCATATCTGGGAACAGCCCCAGCCAGCCCCACAGGAGAGCAGAAGAGAGCCCAGGGCCGATGCCAGGACACACCGCAACTGCCCCAAGTGGGCCGCCCCTGCCTGCATAGGGGGTGGAAACAGGATGAGCTGGTGCCCTGCCCAGAGCCCACTGTGGGGCACCTCGAGGCCCCAGGTAAGCCCACTCCCAAGAGCAAAGAATCCCCTTCCCTAAGTAAGAACCAGGTGGTGCAGAAGCCAGCAGGGGGCACTGAGGACACCTGTGCCAGGGACGCCCATTCAGACAGGTTACTGCTGGTAGCATTGGGAGAGCCTGGGCCTCCAGGGGCCAAGCAGACAGTGTGAAGAGGGACTCTCCAGGCCCCCAGTGGCCAGACAACTGCAGCGGGCCCAGGCCTGCTCTCAGGAGCTGACACTGATGAACTCACTTTCCCATGCACAACCTGAAGGCCTCCAAGGGGACCAGTATCAGGCCATGCCAGTGCCAAACAAGGGCAACCCTGTGTGAGCCACGAACTCCCCCCACCCCCAGCCTGACCGATGCCCTCCACAGCTGATGTCACCCGGACAGTGCTCAGGGCCAGCAGCTGGAGGCACAGCGCCACTAGCAACAGCTAAACCAACCCAGTGTCCAGCCAAGCAAGTGACTGACCCAACGAACCCACCAGCTGACCTGAGGCAGTGAGCACATCTGCAGCTGCCGAGCAATCGCTGGGAGCCACGGCCCCGGAGAGCTTCCTGACCCACCCTGAGGCCAGGGTCCCCCCTAGCTGAGGGAGGCCGCAGCCTTCTGCCAACACCTTCCTAGGGTTGGCCTCTTCCGGCCACACCGACACATGCACACTCACATACAGGTACACAAGCATGCATACTGGCACACATTCACACCGATGCCAACAGACATGTGTGCATGCCCACATATGCCCTCACCCACCCACTCACACACATCCATACCCACAACCATGTATTCATATATGCACATACTTACACAAGCACCACGCATACATGCTTAAATTCACACAACACACTCACACATGTGCATCTTTTTAGATATAAACACCCTCCTATTCACACATGCCTACTTACACACTGACACACTGGGTCTCAACAACAGGCACAGAGCTTCACAGTCCCATCCACTTGCACATCCACACACACTCCACCTCCGTCCCAAATGCACCCACACAACCCAGTCTTTCACGGAGAGCATCGCATTCACTCACAGACATAGACATGCACACACTCACGCACATATGCACATACCTTCATACACTGGCACAGGTGCACTCGTGGGCATACTTGCACGTTCGCACTATCATATACATAATTTCATATAACACACACCCACACGTGCACTGCATACATACCAGTCACGGGTGCATAGCGAGGTATCCCTATCAGCAAGGCAAATACATACACATGGCTCAGGTCACACACACCACCACAGATGTGTTGACAGTTGTTCTTGATGTCAGGTCCACGGCAGGGCTGGAGGCACTGACCAGCATGGTGGTGGTATGTGGGCAGTGAGTGTGAAGTCCAGTTTCCAGAGCCCGCAGCTATAGGGTCGGAGCCAGCCTGGCCCACAGCACACATGCGCCAACTAGGGTAGGGGGAACATGTTCCTCCACGGGCCACACTCCTACCCGCTCCACATCTCCCACTCCCATGTCCCAGATGGCCCCAACCTATGGAGGCCTTCAGCTCTAGGCAGAGAGCCCCCCATTGTAGCCCCAGACCAGCTTCGCCTCTTCCCCTCACAGAGTACCCCTTGACCGTCCTTTTCCTGTCTCTGCACCAACACCAAACCCTGCCAGGGCAGTTTTGGGAGCTGCTTAAGCCTCTGAGGCATGAAGGCCACAGAGGCCACCACTGGGGGTGCCTCAGCCCAAAGGCTATTCAAGGTGGGGCAGGCCCAGGGTCAAGGGAGGCCAGCCCCGTCCAGCCTGGCCCTGCAGGCAGCTGTACAGGGAGCCCCATGCCACCCTGATGTGGCAACAGCTCCGTGCCCCTGCCCCGCCAAGCCCTTGATGAAAAAAGGCTCCTGCAGGTGAAGAGAGCAGAGCTGGGGTGCAGTTTTGAGGACAGGGCTCTGGCCAAGGGGCCCTCTGAAGAAGGCCTCCAGAAGGAGGACTCTGAGGAAGACCCCACCCCCACCCATGCTCCCAGGAGCCTTACGCTGCTATGGAGATATTTGCTGCCGACATAGGGCTGACGTCAGCCACTTCTTTGGCCTTTTGCAGAGCAAGTTTCTGATTGGCTGCTTCTTCCATCTCCTCTTCATCCTGTGAGGGCACAGAAACCTCCATATACCCCAAAGTCTGACACCGATCCCAAACCTTGGCCGAGAATCCTGGGCCTGTCCTTGTTACCTTCTGTCTGGTGAGGCCGGCTCTTGAGGTCCTACAGGCCGCACAGCCTTCCACAGACTGCTCTCAGAGGTCCAGCCCCAAGGGAGCCCTCTGCTGCCACTCTGGGGGAGCCCCAGGCTCTTCCTCAGTGCCACCTCTTCACCAGGCATCTCCCAACCACCCAGGAGCTCACAAGGTGTGCGTAGGTCTGACGTCCCTCCCCAGCCGGTTCCCTTCCTCTCACCTGCTCCGGGCTCCACAAAGGGAGCAGAGGCACAGGATGGACACCCCATAGAGACCACCAGGTGCAGGCACTCACATGAGCTGTGCCTCTACCTGGAGGATCCTCAGCAAGGCTCTCCTGAATACTGCCACACCTGAACCAACACCTGTGTTCCTGGTTGCTGCAGACTGCCCACACTGCCCTCCGAGGGGCGCCAAGTCCAACTCGGCCCCAGAACATGGCCGGCTGAGAGCCGTGTACCTCGATGCTGGGCATACAGGAGCACACATGCAGACCCTGCATGGCCCTGCGAGCAGGAGAGCACACGGGGGCCACACGGAGATACACACAGAGGTGGACCCAGGTGCACAGCACACACAGTGCAGAGCTGCCCTCCCTGCAGGCCAGCGTGAAGCCAGCCGGTTCACGGGATCTCGGATGAAAGGGAAAGAGACTGGCTGCATTCTACTTAGGGCCGTAGGAGACCCTGTGTCCTCGGGAGGGACATCACAGAGCAGGCTGTGTAGCCACAGGCGCCCTGGGTCGGGGATGAGATACCAGAGGAGGCACCCGCAGGGCAGTGTTGGATGGAGGAAAGCAGACAGTGGCAGCAGCTGCTCCTGAAGTGCCCTGTGGCACATCACGGAAGGCTGGTCCAGAGACCGTTGGGGCAGCCCCCTACACACAGGGTGACCCTCGGGGCCTCTCCTGCCCAGGCCCCTTCCTGCTCAGGACTTTTACAGCTGTCCCTTGCAGCCCAGGACGGCCCACAGATCTCCTCCTTCCCAGGACACTCAGGGTCATGTGCTCCCCGTGTAGGGACTTATACCAGTATCTCTCCCCTATCTTTTAGGGTCCTTTGAACTAGTGACTTCCTACAGCCCACGAGGACTCTCCGTTTTTCTATTGAATGTGTGACCATGAGAGGCATCGCACCCCACTTTCACGTCCCCTGGCTCTCCTTCCCCCGGCCACCGGTAGGTTACTATTTCCTGGGGTCGGCCAGCCTGGCATGGGTCTCAGGGCTTCCTAGGTTATATTCCCCACACCCAAGAGGCACCCTAAACCCATCCCCATGCCGGAGGCTGCAGGGGGCTTCCCTATGATGTGGCCCAATCCCACTCCCCTGACACATAGGTGGCTTCACTATAGGGTACAGCAGCCCCCATCTCTATCTCTGCTGCTACCCCCAGCACAGGAGCTGCAGGTGACTTCTCTATGGTGTACACTCATCCTCACCCCCAGAGGCTGCAGGTGGCTTCCCTGCCTACATACCTTCGTCAGCTCCTGAGCATTGGCAAGGTTGTCCACGGCGATGGCCAGGAAGACATTGAGCAGAGTGTCTGGTTGGCTCCAGCTAAGGAAGGGAACCTCTCTGTTCATACCTCCCACTTAGCCAAACCACAGCATCCCTCAGGGCACCCATCTTCCCCAACCCTCCTTGCCTTGGCCTACGCCACCCAGCCTCTCCCACTGCTTTTGGGAGACCTTTCAAGTGGGGGCTGCCCCTCTCTGCACTTGGCCAGCCTGTGGGAGAAACATCCCAGGCCAGGCTCCCGTCACTCTTTTCCTCCCCAGCCCCTCTCCAGGGGGCTCCTGCAGGTGTGGGCCCGCAGAGCAGGTTCTCACAATGCAGACGTCGTGGAAGATGCTGCTACTGGGCAGACACCAGCACGGAAGGCCAACCATGGGCAGTGCCAGCCCCTTTGGTGAAAGGTGTCGGCTCGGGGCCCTGTGCAGAAGTTCGGAGTGCCTCATAAGGCACTCAGGAATGGTCCTGAGTTGGGTGCCTTCTCTGCTGATGACGCGCCCCCTCCACCCCCACCCCCCGCCATATTGCCAGGTCTCTGACTGTGCCCTCACTTTGCTGGCATCCACTGCAGCCCCGTGGCCCCTCCTCGGACCTCCCTGTGTGGCGGTCTCTGTACTGCAAGGGGTGAGCAGCTGCAGGGACCTCCATGCACGCCCCTCACCCCCATGGCACGAGGGCCGCTGCTGCCGCCCTCAGGGCCCAGATCCGCCTGCTCAGCGGCCCCGCCCGCGGAGGCCGCTCTGGAAGGATACAGTTCCCGAACAGCGTCAGCACGATGAAGTAAAAGGACGAGAACATGCCCTTGCTGACGCCGCCCTGCGACTCGATCCCGTGATACATCACTGCGTTCCAGTCCTCTCCGGTCAGGATCTGCGGAGAGAAACCAGGCGCGTAGCCTCCCAGCACGCGAGCGCACGTATGCGCGCGCACCCACGCGGGGCGGGGCCTTCGGGAAAGGCGGGAAATGGAATTTAAAATAATGCTGCGACCTTTTTCTTCAAATTTTGACTTATGTATACTGATATTAAAATCTTACTTGGGTGTCAGATTGATATTCGACATCCCGTTAAATTGTCTTTACTTGGAATGGACACAAGTAGGACTTCTTATCTTTAAAATTTCTTGTCATAGATGGGGAAGCACTTCCAGCACTATATTCCTGTGTTGAAACAACCCACTTACTACTTCAGTTTCTAGAGCTTTTTTAAATCAATGGTTTCAATGAAGCTTGGATTTCTTCCTTCAACACCTTTAGTTGGTTCTTAATCACATGTTACCTCTTGAAACGGTTGAACACCAAGCGCGTCTTTTGGGCACAGTGACTGCATTCCCTCCATCTTCCCCTGCGCTTCCTGCATTGTTCAATATCGATTCCTTCGATATTTCATGTTAAATTTTAAAAATAGCTCTTTCAGTTTGAGAAATGCCGAAGTTGTGTGTCCCTGGGTTTTCTAACTCCAGGCCTTCTGACATTTCATTGATATTTTAGTTTGTGTTCTCAAGCTGCCCTTGGACATCTTCCGTCCCATTTGCTTTAGCTACTACTCTGTGTTCAAAAGCAAGTTTCAGAGTCGCTTCTGACATCCACTTTGGTCTTTTCATTCTTTCCTGTCTTTTTAATGACCTTTTCCTTTCTTCACGTATGAGGTCCTTGCACAACTTGTCTGGTCCTTCATCAGAGTTCAGTGTGCCAAGTCTATACTTGAGAAGGTCTGTAAATTAAGATAGAATGTACGCGAGGTCACAGTTAGTTCTCACGGGCTTGTTTTCCCTTTTGCCAGTTCCCACTTGAACATGCAATGCGAGCAAGTAATGGTTTATGTTACAGTCAACCCCTGGTCTTGTTCTGTCTGAGGTTCCTCATCACCGCTTTCCACAGATGCCATGTTTGACTCCCATGTGTCCCATCTGGCAAGGTCCATGTGTATAATTGCTGTTTGTGTTGTTTTTTAAGAGGCACTTGCATTGACTAAGTTATTGGTCTTACAAAGTGTACCATTTGATCTCCAGTTTTGTTTCTATCACTAAGGCCATGTTTTCCAACTACTGTGCTGCTTTTGTTTCCAAATGTTTGCATACAAACACCAGCAGCTGTCCATGCACTTTGATTGCATGTCTGATCCATTTCAGATCACAGAGCTCGTAAACGTCCATGTCTTCATCTTTGACATTCGTGTGTAAATGTGAACAATAGTCATATAAGTTTGCTTGTGAGCATGTGGATATCATCCCACCACTGATCGCATTCTCCTTCAGGACAGATCTTGAAATGTCCTTGGAGATGGATGTGATGCCACTCCTCTCCAATCTACCATCCCCACAATAGACCATCCGACTGTCCAATGCCAGCACATTTCAGTTCACTGATGTCTACAAAATCCATCTTTACAGGCTCCATTTCATACTGGACAATATCAAAATTTCCTAGATCTACACTTCATACATTTCATGTTCCAAATGTTAATGGGAGTTTGCAGCTATTTCTTCTCCTCATAAGTTGTGCCACATCAGCAAATGACAACTGTACTCTGTTGCTATCATTAAGATCAGCTCTACTCTGAGGGAGTGGTTCTTCTCTACCGGTACTTTGGAGGCCTTCCAGGCCTGAAGGGTTCATATTCCAACATAGTATCAAACAATGCTCCACTGCTATTTCTAAAGATTTCACGGGCTAGTCTATTTTTCAGAAGTAGATCACTAGGTCCTTCTCCTGAATCTAGGAAATCTACTGCCACATGTCCACTATGGGCTGACCTTGCTGGTATTTGAACTATCTGTGGTATAGCTTCTAGCATCACAGTAACTACACAGTCAATACAGTAGAACAAGAAAACAGATGGAGCGGTTTTACTCCGCAACATGTGGAATTGCTGGGTGTTAGAACTGATTCAACCGCCACAGGTTGGTTGGTTTGGCTTATCACCCAGTAGTTTTCATATGCTGAACTGCCCTTGCCTTCTTGTGATTACCTTCACGGTACATGATCTATAATCCTTTTGATATGATACTGGATTTGGTTTGCTGGTACTTGAGAATGTTTGCAGCTATGTCAAAAAAATATATTGACCTATAGTTTTTTGTGTATCTTTGGCTTCCCAATCAGTGTAATGCTGGCCTATGGAATAAGTTAGAAACTGTTGTCAAGTTTTTGGAAGTGTATGAGCAGTGTTAATGGTAATTCTTTAAATGTGTCATATCAGTGAAATCATCTGGTACCGAATTTTTCTTTGTTGGAAGATTTTTGACTGATGATTCAATCTGTTTGTATAAGTTTTTGGATTTCCTCTCTTGCGTCCATTTTAGTAGTCTGTGTGTTTCACAGTTCATCTGGTTAGTTGTTCATAATATTCTCTTATAATCCCCTCATTTCAATAAAGTCTGTAGTAATGCCCCCTTTCATTTCTGATACTAGTAATTTGAGTCCTCTTTTTTTTCTTATTCAATCTAGCTAAAGGTTTGTAATGTTGATTTTTTTTTTAAATGATCTATTTGTGGTTTATTTCCTATTCTCAATTTTGTTGATCTGTTATAACTTTTATTATTTTCTTCTGCTACTCACCTTGAAGCTAGTTTGCTCTTCCTTTTCTCATTCCTTAAAGCATAAAGCTGTTATTTGAAACCATTCTCTATTTAAAATTTTTTCCTTAGTTTCAATTTTTCTTTTCCTCTTTTTACAACTACTCAGACCAGTGATTAGATCTGATGGGTAAGGACATTAAAGAATTTTTTTAGTTTGTGATCCTTCTTTTAAAAAAAAATTTTTTTTTATTATTTTTCCCTCTTATTTGTGGGACCACAGTAATACTCTGCCCCCATGTGGTTCCTCCCTCCCACCCCCAACCTCTCTCCCTTCATCCCTCCCTCTCCCCCTGCCTCCCCAGTCTTTTCCTTTGGTGTGAAAACCATTTTTTCTTCCTTTATAATAATGATGTCATGAAAAATTTATCTTTGTGAAAATGACTAACTTTGCTAAGCATAATGCCTTTCAATTTTGTCCATATGATGAAGTATTTGAGTCTCATTATTATTGTTTAAAGATGCATACTATTCTATTGAGTGTATTTACCAGAATTTACTTATCTGTTACTTCACAGACAGGGTGTTGTCGGGTTTTTTTCCAGACAGGGCTTTTGGTTGCTTCTATACTTTTCCTCTTACACAAATTGCTGTGACAAACTGGGTGTGCATATATCTGTTTATGTTTTGTCCTGTGTTTCTTTAGGGTATATCCCAAGTAGATAGATGGCAGGCTCATACGGTATTTCTATTTGCATTTGTTTAAGGAAGCGCCATACTGTTCTCCATAGTAGCTGTACAAGTCTGCATTCTCACCAGCAATGTATGAGCATTCCAATCTCTTCACATCCTTTCCAGCATTCATTATTTTTTATTTTGCTAAGAATGTCAGTGTAGTGGTATCTCACTGTTGTTTTACTTTTTAGTTCTCTTAAAGTAGTAAATGATCACTAGCATTTCTTCATGATTGTTGGCCATCTGGATGTCATGTTTATTACATTGTCTATTCATGTTTTGTGCCTATTTTTTAATTGGGTTATTTGTGTTTTTATTAAGATGGTGTAGTTACTATAGATTTTTTAAATTAGCCCTTTATCTGATACATCATTGCCAAATATTTTCCCCCAATCTGTGGGTTCTCTTTTTATTCATTTGATGGAATTTTCTTCATGTACACAATGTTTTAGAAGGTCCCAGTCCTCTATTTTGTCTTCTGTAGTGTGAAAGTTTTTTATTATGTTTGGTGTGGATTTTATGCCTTGTTTTAGGGATTTAAAGTCTGTCTTATTTTTCACTTACGACTGTTAGGTCTTTAATCATCTTGAGTTCATTTTGTGTGTCGTGTGAGGTACGGGCCCTGTTTTACTGCTTTGCAGGTGGAGATGCAATTTTTTCAGCACCATTTGTTGGAGAGAAAAAAAACACACACAAAAAACCAACTATCTCTTCCCTACTTAACATGTTTCAGTCTTTTATCAAAAATCATATGTCTGTAGGTACTTGGTTCTATTTCAAGTTTCTCTGTTCTAATCTATTGGTATACAAATCTATCTCCATACCAATACCAAGCTGTTTTGATTACAGGGTTTGTATATTAAATTTGGAAATCAGGGAGTGAGAGGTCTCCCATTTGTAAAAAAATAAGTTTTGTTTATTCCAGGTTTGTTTACTTTCCATATGAAGTTGGTGATTAATTTTCCATCTCATTGAAGAATTGTGCTTGGACTTGGACCAAAATTGCATTGTTTTTATAGAGTGTGCTCAGTAATATTGACATTTTCGCTCCATTAAGTCTTCCTATCCATGAGCATGTGACCTTCTTCCATTTACGTGTCTTTTGGTTTCTTGTAGAAGTGTTTTTTTAAATTTTCTCTGTATAAGTCATTTGTTTCTCTGGTTAGATTTATTCTTAAGTATTTTATCTTTTGGTAGCTATTGTAAATGGTATTATTCTTTTAATTTCCTTTCAGAATGCTCCTCTTTAATATTCAAGAATCCAATTGATTCTTGTATGTTGATGCTGCTCTGTTGCCAATCTTTCAATTAGTTCCAGCAATTTTTAAAAAGTTTTATTGGGACATAACCCACATATCATGTAATTCAATAGTTCAATCATATCAAGAGGAATTGTACAATCATTATCCCAATCAATTTTAGAACATTTTCTTCTTCTTTCATGAACTGCTTGTGTGTTACTTCCAGCAATTGTTTGAGTCTCTGAAGTTTTCTATATATAGGATTATGTCATCTGTGAAAAAAGGGAGTTTTGCTTCTTCTCTACCAGTTTGGATGCCTTTATTATCTTTGTGATGTCTGACAGCTCTGGCTAAGGCTTCCAGGACTGTATTAAACAA